TTGAGGTTGATGCACATAAGCAAGGTGATGATGATGTGGTTATTGGGTCAATTCCGAGTTTTGTTGGTGATACTATTGAGAAGGTTGTGGACATTGGTGAGAAGGTAGTAGACATTAGTTGTGACAAGGATGAGGGGGTAGTTGTCGGGACAATCCCATGTCCTCTGGAGCGTGTGGAAGTACAACAAACTGAAATGAGAGTATATCAAAGAAGGAACAAGAACCAAGTTGATAAGGTGACAGGGAAGGAGCAAGTGCACCAGAGGAGCCAAATTCAGAATCAGGGGGAGAGAAGTGGTGAGCCTATGCAAGAGCAAGACAAGGAGTCACAACAGCTGCAACAGTTTGAGTACCCAGTCCCAGATTCCTCCTCTAGCCTCTCTCCAACAAGTTCCTCCCTCCTTGAGACAAGTGGTAACATTTCTCCTACCTTTGAACAAGTAGAGTTACCTCTTGCACAACGTAGAGAAACTAGATCTAATGCTGGAAGACCTCCTATACGCCTTGGTTTTGAACACCTTAGTTCTAGACATGACATTGCAAACTATATCTCATACTCTCATATTTCACCTGCATATAAAGCATTCATTGCATCATTGCAAATAGTGCCTATTCCAAAGGACTGGAGATGTGCAAAACAAGATCCAAGATGGAAGGATGCAATGAAGGAGGAGTTGCGTGCCCTTGAAAAGAATAAGACATGGGAACTTGTGAAACTACCAATGGGGAAAAGAGCAGTGGGATGTAAATGGGTATTTACAGTGAAGCAAACCCCTGAAGGGAAAGTGGATAGATATAAAGCAAGATTAGTTGCAAAAGGTTATAGTCAAACATATGGAATTGACTATGATGAAACATTTGCACCTGTGGCTAAGATGAGTACGGTGAGGATTTTGATATCATGTGCAGTTAACTTTGGATGGCCTCTTCATCAGTTAGATGTCAAGAATGCTTTTCTACATGGTGATTTACAAGAGGAGGTATATATGGAGATTCCCCCTGGATTTGGAAATAGCCAGACTGTTGGGAAGGTATGTAGGCTCAAGAAGTCCTTGTACGGTTTGAAACAATCCCCACGTGCATGGTTTGACAGGTTTAGGCGTGCATTGTGCAATATGGGATATTCACAATGTAATGGAGATCACACAGTTTTCTATAGACATAGGGGGGCACACATCACTATCTTGGCTGTTTATGTTGATGATATAGTGATCACTGGAGATGATGTAGAAGAGATCAAATGCTTAAAGCAGCGATTAGGAGAGGCCTTTGAGGTGAAGGATCTTGGACCTCTTCGATACTTTCTTGGGATTGAGGTTGCTCGATCATCAAAGGGGATAGTTCTCTCTCAAAGAAAGTATGTCCTTGATTTGTTAACAGAAACCGGAATGCTTGGATGTCGTACAAGTGCTACTCCCATTGATAGGAATCACCAATTGAGTGCACAGTCAGGTGATCCAGTTGATAGGGAAACTTATCAGAGGTTGGTTGGACGTTTGATATATCTATGCCACACGAGACCAGATATCTCTTATGCGGTGAGTGTGGTTAGTAGGTATATGCATGATCCTAGAACAACTCATCTAGAGGTGGTTCATAGGATCTTGAGGTACTTGAAAGGAACTCCTGGTAAGGGGTTGTGGTTTAGAAAGAACCAACACTTGGATGTGGAAGGATATTGTGATGCTGATTGGGCAAGCAGTGTGGATGATAGAAGATCTACATCAGGATATTGTGTATTTGTGGGTGGCAATGTTGTCTGTTGGCGAAGCAAGAAGCAGGCGGTAGTGGCTCAATCTACCGCGGAAGCTGAGTATAGAGCCATGGCATTGAGTTTAAGTGAGATGTTGTGGGTGAAGAATCTATTGTTGGAGCTACGGTTGTTCAGAAATAATACTGTGGTGCTTCATTGTGACAACAAATTTGCTATCAACATTGCAAACAATCCAGTTCAACATGACCGCACCAAACATATCGAAATTGATAGGTTCTTCATCAAAGAGAAGATCGATAGTAGGGCTCTTAGACTACAATACATTAAATCTTCTGAGCAGCTAGCTGATTGTTTAACCAAGGGATTAGGTCCTAGTCAGAGTGAGTCAATGTGTAACAAGATGGGCATGATTGATATCTTTTGCCCATCTTGAGGGGGAGTGTTGATGTAATATGCACTTGTATTGGGGACCTTCTTGCATATGTAGCTAAGTGAAATAGTGTGTGTGTGGCTGTGAACAACACACCAGAAAAAATCCCCAAAACTGAACTTTAAAAACCCATTGTTATGATTTCGTTGTTCATCAAATTTTGCTGTACGTGGTAGCAAAATCCCGGCGCACATATGTTTGGATTGGCCCACTACTAGTCAAAAGCATCTAGTTTTTGTTTTCTATAAAGAGTACTACTTGTGTTTTATCGGTAATGAACTGAAACTTTTCTTCGGTCTTCTGCTAAATTGCTCAATTCAACTTGCCAATTGCAATTTTGAGGAACTACCTCTACGTACTGATAACTGTGAGGTTTTTTACTTGCAGTTCAATGCTCATGGCCTTTCCTGTTTTCTCCACTATGCCATAATATTTATAGATAAATACTCTCTCCGTTTTTTAATATATGATGCATGATACCATTGACTTTTACAATCTTTGATCATTTCTCTTATTCAAAAATTTTGTGCAAATCTTAAGAATTAAGTACTGTTTTAAGTTCCTTTTGTGATAAATCAAACCATAGCAAAAGAAAAGATATTTACTTAATTTTTTTAATGAAATGAATGATCAAATATAATGTAAAAAAGTAAACGGCGTCATATATTAAAAAACGGAGGTAGTAGCTGCTAGCATATTTCCTTTTATGTAAAGTAATAATTGGGAGCCATTAACATGTTATTTTTGCTATACTTGTGGTGGTGATCATAAAAGTGACTAGTGTTTTAACTGCTATTTACATTGGTAAACAACTGAAATGCACATAGTAGGAAAGGCTATGTATCTTTATCCCATCAACATTTCAACAGGTTCTAAAGTATTCTCTCTTGCGAAAACATTTTACCTGCATGCCAACAGTTTTCTTTAATCGCCAGTAATGCCTTCCTGAAATATCTATTAGGTCATGTAAGATACTTTGATCATTTCCATGTAACAGTTTACAAATATATTCTAAAGAAGGGAAGGGAGGAGCAGAAGGACTAGGTGCACAACAGTTTTTTTATTAGCTTTTCTCCCTTCTGGCATGTATGAGTTATAGGAGATTGAAATATTTTTAACTAAGAGAAATTCTTTTCTAACATTGTGGCACAAATAATGAAAGCGAGAGAGTATTCTGTGCTGGTGTTAACAGGAGTATGTAAGTAATTTTGGTAAAAACACCAAGGTGGAATGATATAATGATTGTTGGAATTGGGACATAGCAATACATCACCTAAAAGTATACAGAAATTTGTCTAGTATAGTATCATCATAAATGTCATGTTGTTGCATAGTTTGGCCAATGGTGGCGGTATATTAATTAGAGGAGGCATGCATCTCAAATTCAAATGGCCAACTGGGAAATCATTATATACGTCGAAGTAAATATTATTGTGTTACATGGAAACATGTTTCGGTGTTACATATGATTGTACAAAGTAGTAGTATCATCTAGGAATGATGAATTTTGATTTCTTTACCTATATATGGATTTTTTTATTTCAGTTTTAGGTCAATCCATAGAAACTAACCTTTTTTTTTAATTTAAAGAGGGAATTACTTTATTGATTATGGAATGCATTATGCACTTATCTTAACAAGTGTGCATTTAACCTATGGTTTGTGGTGTAAACTCATGAATTCTCTGCCTTAAGCATTGTTAATCCGCAAGAACAAGTTTTTTGATGTAGCAATTCTATAGGCATACATGATTTAATGATTATAAGATAAAAGTTTTTCAGTAACACTTTCGTTCCCGCAATCAATCATATGAAGTGTTTAATGAACTCAGTATCCTAAATACTCCCTGCAGATTGTTCTGGACTTGAAATTAGTAATTCTTTCTCTCTTAACCATCCCATCATTTTAATTCTACGAAGTTAATTAATCTGATGTGTTTCATTTGATATCTCCTAGTGTCTGCAAACATTAGAAGCATCTGATCGATTTTCTTTTCATTCTACAATAGGTGAAACAATAGCATCTCTCATACTGGATTCAGGATGCCTTTCATCACGGCTCGCTCTTTTGAAGATACACCGGAGGAAGAGGAATCAGATGCAGAATTTCTCCGTCGATTAGGTGAATTTGGATATCTCTTTTCCATCATCAGTTACAACTATGCTAGAAGGAGTCGTGTAGTCGAAAGGAGCAGCTTTGGAATAGCTACCATTCAAGAGCTAATAGCTGCGGTTGTAGGTCTTGGTTCGTTTGGATGTTACACTATCCTCTTGTTCCATGACTTGACAATCGGCGCCGAGCCAACCACAGACACACCTGCGAGAAGGCAGATAAGATTTCCCCAAACACGAAGACAAAGGAATTGATTGAGATCATCAAATTACTTTTCAATTTATTTTAGGGATATTAGCATATTACCCGTGTGTGTTGTATAGGAGTAATAATTAGAAAAATATCACGTTATAATAATCATTTTCTTAATATGTTTGTTTCTTACATGTAGGCTATATATTTAGCCCCATGCTCCTTACCAAAAGAAATGGTTGGTGGTGGGATGGTTGAAAAGTAAACTCTGTGTTCTCACATTGTTCTTTTTTTTTCTTTTCAAAAAGTATATAGTTGGAGGTAAGACCTGATGGCAGATTTATCACTCATCACCAACACTACTATCTTTTTAACGAGTATAGATATATTTACAAGAACCTCATCAACTATGGATTGAAATGCTCTTCAATATGTACAAGGGGGCAAAGACAAGCCTGGGATAGCTAGGGCTTGTCTCCTAAATTTCTATTTGATTCCCTGAGAATTTAGTGAAAAATCTAACAATACAAGATAATGCCCTCAACTATGTACTTATGTAGCTCCGCCCTCGTCCTGCTCCTCCACGGGCAGCGCATGGCGGCCGAGCGGGCACACGTTACTGCACCCTAGCCACTCCGTGATGCAATGGTGGTGGAAGCTATGGTTCCCGGCGCACGGTATCGCGCACACCTCGTCGCCGGCGACGAACTCCTCCATGCAGATGACGCATCCTGCAGCGCTATCCTTCGCCTCGTCGTCGTCGTCGTCGTCGCCGCCGTGGTGATCAAACTGATGAAACACCTGTTTCTCCAGGCCGGCCACGGCGGCGGCGGACGCTGGGACACCCCGGAAGCCGCCGCCGTCGTCGAGGTCGAGCGGCATGTTTGCGCCGCCATCGTCGAGGTCGAGGTCGAGGTCGAGCGGCATGTTTGCGTTTTGGAGTATCTGCAAGGCTCTCTCGCCGCTGATGATGCCGTTCAGGAGAAGGTAGCACAGAACTTGATCCAATAATGGCGATCCGTCGTCGTCGTCCTCATCATCGATCGACGGCGGCGGCGCCGCCATCATCGCGTCCTCGTCGTTGTTCTGGCCGTGGCCTCCGCCGCCGCCGCCACCGCCGAGGTCGAAGTGTAGCGCCACGGTTAAAATTTGTAGGAGCAAGGCCGTCTCGCCGCTGATGACGCCGTTCAGGAGAAGGTGCGACAGAATCTGCGCGACATCGTCCGGTGAAAAATCGTCGTCCTCATCATCGATCGATGTCGGCGGCGCCGGCGGCATCATCGCGTTCTGGGATGGAAGCAGGAACGTGAACCGGTGAGCGCCGCCGTGCTGACATCATCGTCGGCCTCCATGGATTGATCGATTTATCGATACAACAACAACGTACTAACAATCAAAAGTCAAAACAAGCAGCTGCTAGCTGGCAGTTATGATCGATCGATGTTGATGTCGATGTGGGTGCATGTACTGTCGAAAATCGGAAATACCAATCCGATTCGGATTTGTTTTTGTGCGCTACATGATATAATCGGAAACACGAATCCGATTCGGATTCGTTTGAGCGCGCGACAGGAGAGAGTTCAGTGGTTACGCGCGCGTTTGGAGGAATCTGCCGCATGAGACGGAAAACATTTTTTTATGTGTTTTTTCTTTCTTTTTTTCGCATCTGTTTTTTCCGTTAGGCCGCATCATTTTTTTTTCTTTTTTTCGCGTTTTGTTTTTTAGTTATTTTCTATTTTTTTGTGTTATTACTTTGAACTCATATTTGAAAACTTTTAACTCAAAATTAAAACTTTCAACATAGATTTAAAAACTTTCAACTCAAAATTTGAAACTTTCAATCCATATTTAAAAACTTTCTAAGCAGATTTAAAAATTTTTAACTCAAAATTTGATTTATTTTTAAGTCAAATTTTGAAAACTTTCGACTTTTCTTCTTAAATTTGAAAAACCTTCAACTCAGATTTGAAAACTTTTAACTCAAAATTTGAAACTTTCAACCCAGATTTGAAAACTTTTAACTCAAAATTTGAAACTTTCAACCCAGATTTGAAAACTTTCTACTCAAAATTTAAAAACTTTCAAATCTAGATTTGTAATTTTCTTTATTATGCAAACTTTCAATTCAAAATTTTTGAAAAACACATGTGCTAACAAACTAAAAAAATCGGAAACGAAGGTGCGCTAAATAGAAATCATATGGGGAAAAAATACGGGTATAGCTCACGCACGCGAAGAAAACGGATGCTCAGGCGCATGAAAGAAAAGGCTGAAAAAGAGATAAAATCGGAAAAAAAAAGAATGATGGGAGGGGTGCCAGCTGGCGCGCGAGACTTCCGTTGCTGGCTCGCGCGCACCAGGTAGCAATCCCCGTTACGTACTTTGGCTATTTCCAGCCAGCCGACATATTGGCCCAGTCAAAAGCCCGAAACCTTGTTGATAAATGTGTTAGGGAATGGAAACAGCGATGAAAATGTTTATCCGTTTTCAATTCTTGTTATAAATAAAATTTGATCTCTTCTAGCATTACTAGCAAAAAAATACTTGTGCGTTGCAGCGGGTAAGGGTGTTTTTTTCAACGGCTATTTGAAACTAAGCAATAAAGTAAAATATTGGGATCGCTATAATTAATTAATTTGTGTTGGCTCATTTAATTACATGCATATACTTACATGAAAAATTAAGAAACATGAACATAAATAAAATTTACATAAATTTATAATCAACGATGGTAATAGAATGGATCCATATCTTGAAATAGTTAGCTGGAATTATATTAATAAGCAATCATAAAAAAGTTACATAATTTTTCATATATTTTAAGCATTTAAAAGGTATTGCTACTATTTCTGAAAAATAAAACATTAATTTGGCAGACAAGGAAAGTAAAAAAAAAAAGGCCCCATTGGACCTTGTCCGCCTACTAGGGCATTCGGGTGCGTGGCCCAACAGTGTTGCGAGCTATGGCCTGGGGATCAATGGAAGCCAGCTCGACGCGGGGTCGATCTGAGCCGTTCGTTTTAATGTATGGCTCGGATTGGTTTCGAAAACTATCGGTGCCCAAAAATCCTAACCCTAGTTTCACTTTTTCCTTAGCCGAGACCGCCGTCACTCCCCCTCCCCACGCCAATCTCTGCTACTCCCCCTCCCACCCACTGGCAGTGCCGTTCCCTCTCCACCGCAACCCCTCCCCCTACAGGTGCTCTCCCTCCCCCACTGTCAACCCTTTTCCTCCTCGCCATGGTGCCACCACCACCCTGCTCCTCGCTAGATCCCCTGAAGCTCGCTGGATCTGGGCTTGGGAGGCGGTGGCGGCCCGGCAACGGCACAGCTCGACTGAGCAACTGCTGGCGGCCACTCCGAGCCCTCTGCTCGCCGAATCTGGCATTGGGAGGCGGTGGTGACAGTTGAAGCTCGATGGCAGCAAACTCATGCCGCTCATGTCTTCGGTGAGGTACGACGACATCGCTAAGCCGATTGGGAGTGCACGCGACAAATCATGCCATGTGCGGCCAAGTTCGAAACCGGTGAGACCATGACTCCGGTGGTTGTATTTTTGTTTGATTTTGTTTTTTTTCTTTGTTTGTCGTTCTTTAATTTTTGTAATTCGGATCTAATTTGTGGAAATTTTGTAAACATTTTTTGTTTGTTGTATATGGATGTTCTGGTGTAACATGAACTAGTTTAATTTTTTATTTGTTATTTTGCAAACTCGGGATGTTTTTTTGTGTTGGACTCAGGATGTTGCGGACAAATACAATTTAGGTGACGACAGGCAAAAACTTTCACCGGAATTCTGTCATATTTTTTTAGTAGGTATAGATTTGATCAGGGCTTTTCTTCGCCGCTGGCCAAGCAAAAAATATGTACATCCGGAGTAGTTTATACATTGTAGCACATCTTTTACTTTCTTCATCCAACATGTGTGCCGAGCCAACAACAGACACACCTGCAAGAAGGCAAAGAAGATTACCCTCAACACGAAGACAAAGGAACAGATCGGAACTGATTGAGATCACCAAATTACTCTTTCATTTGTATTTCGATATTAGCGTATTGTTCATGCGCTATAACAGAATTTTAATTTAAAAAAAAAATATAAAACTAATCTGTTATTATTTTTATGTATATTTGTTACTTAACCGTAGACCATTAAATACCACACTATTTATTTTTCTTATAAAAGAAACGGTAGGAAGTTGGTGGTGGGGAGATTGATATGGGGTCTCTCTAGTCCCAACTTTTCTTTTTTTTTTCTTTTCCAAAATTTTAAAGTTGGTGGTGAGGGTGGTATAGCATATTTACCACTCAACATCACCACTAGTCTTTTTAAAAAGAGTATAGATATATTTCTAAGAACCTAAAAAATTAAGAATTGTAATGCTCTTCAATCTAAATAAAGCCGGGGACCAAGACAACTATAGAACAACTAATGCTTTACCCTAGACTTGTTTCTTAAATTTATATTAGATTCTCTCAGAATTTAATAAAAAAAATTGAACGATAGTTTAGCTCTTTGTCACTGTTTGCATAATATATAACTTTGCTCAGCTTTATGGGTACACAATTTGTACTTTACAATACTTTTTGTGCTTCCTTCATCCCATAAAGAATTGATTTTTAGAAAATCGATCCCGGACATATATTGGCATCACGTTGAGGAGGCGACAACGCCCTCGTCCTGCTCCTCCACGGGCAAAGCATGGCGGCAGAGCGGGCACACGTTACTGCGCCCTAGCCACTCGGTGATGCAATGGTGGTGGAAGCTATGGTTCCCGGCGCACGGTATCGCGCACACCTCGTCGCCGGCGACGAACTCCTCCATGCAGATGACGCATCCTGCAGCGCTATCCTTCGCCTCGTCGTCGTCGTCGTCGTCGCCGCCGTGGTGATCAAACTGATGAAACACCTGTTTCTCCAGGCCGGCCACGGCGGCGGCGGACGCTGGGACCCCCCGGAAGCCGCCGCCGTCGTCGAGGTCGAGCGGCATGTTTGCGCCGCCATCGTCGAGGTCGAGGTCGAGCGGCATGTTTGCGTTTTGGAGTATCTGCAAGGCTCTCTCGCCGCTGATGATGCCGTTCAGGAGAAGGTAGCACAGAACTTGATCCAATAATGGCGATCCGTCGTCGTCGTCCTCATCATCGATCGACGGCAGCGGCGCCGCCATCATCGCGTCCTCGTCGTCGTTCTCGCCGTGGCCTCCGCCGCCGCCGCCGCCGAGGTCGAAGTGTAGCGCCACGGTTAAAATTTGTAGGAGCAAGGCCGTCTCGCCGCTGATGACGCCGTTCACGAGAAGGAACGACAGAATCTGCGCGACATCGTCCACTGAAAAATCGTCGTCCTCATCGTCGGTCGACGTCGGCGGCGGCGGCATCGTCGCGTCCTCGTCGTCGTTCTGGGATGGAAGCAGGAACGTGAACCGGTGTCGCTGCCCGCCGCCGCCGTCGGTGAGCGCCGCCGTGCTGACATCATTATCGGCCTCCATGGATGGATGGATCGTTTTTATCGATGCAACAACAGCTAACAATCAAAACAAGCAGCTGCTAGCTAGCAGTTATGATCGATCGATGTTGATGTCGATGTGGGTGCATGTACTGTATATATAAGGAGGGGGGCTTTTATTTCGAAAATCGGAAATACCAATCCGATTCGGATTTGTTTTTGTGCGCTACATGATATAAAATCGGAAATACGAATCCGATTCGGATTCGTTTGCGCGCGCGACTTAGTGGTTACGCGCGCGTTTGGAGGAATCTGCCGCATGAGACGAAAATATTTTTTACGTGTTTTTTCTTTCTTTTTTACACATCTGTTTTTTCCGTTAGGCCGCTTTTTTTTTCTTTTTTTCGCGTTTTGTTTTAGTTATTTTTTTTGTGTTATTACTTTGAACTCATATATGAAAACTTTTAACTCAAATTTAAGACTTTCAACTCAGATTTGAAAACTTTTAACTCAAAATTTGAAACTTTCAACATAGATTTGAAAACTTTCAAATCAAAATAACCGGATGGAAGCGGGAATGTTAACCGTGGCGCTATGCGTCGCCGCCGTGCTGACATCATTGTCGGTTTCTTGATGGATCGTCGGTTTCTTGATGGATCGCCGGCCCCGATAGATTTCAGACGGACTGTAAGTGGCGCTGTCTCAAAAGCGTCATCACCGCACGAGAAAATGCATTATCCCGTGTTGGCGTCTTAATCTGACCGCACGGGATAATCGGCTCCTTAAGAGGGCCGCACGGAAAAATTGATTTTCGCGTCTAGACATATTAAGTGGACCGCACGGAAAAATCGATTTTCAAACTTCCTTTTTTATTTTCACTCCTCCCTATCTCTCACTTTCCTCCTCTATCTCTTTTTCCATCTCTTTCTCTTCTCCTCTCCTCTCCTCTCCGCATGAGGCAGCCGGCTCGGCGGCGCCGCCGACGAGGCGGCGGCCGGGAATGGGCGGGAGGCGACGTGGTGGTTGCGACGAGGCGGCGACCGGGCAAGCGCTGCAGCTAGCGGCTTGGCGGACGGCGGCGGTGAGCAGCCAGGATCTGGCGACGGTGGATGTCCCCCACGCGGATCTGTGCGGATCCGGTGACGGTGGCGGATGGCGCAACAGTAGCGGCGGCGGGCAAGTTCGACGGTGGCAGCCGAGAGCGGCTGGCTCGAGAGTGGTGGTGGCGGCCAGGTGCTGCGGCGGCGGCGCGACGACGACGGATGAGCTCGACGATGAGTTGTGGTGGCTAAGAGCAGCAGACTCGGGAGCAGTGGTGGCGCAACGACAATAGGCGATTCTAGGGTTAGGGTTAGGGGCTTTTTTTATTTTTTCAATTTTATTTTTTTGGTTTTTTTTATACGTGCGGACGGTATAACTTGACCGCACAGGATAATCAGTTATCCCATGCGGTTAGATCACCCGCACACAAAAATATTGATTTTTGCAGATCCCGTGCAGATGGGCGCTACCTCCACATGGAAAAATGGATTTTGACCGTACCAAAAAAATGAATTCTGGTCTGATCCAATTGCGATATCCGATTCAGGTTCGTTAATTTGAGAGAGAGAGCGCAGACTTGTTTTTAGGGCAGCCCACATATGGGCCGGTTTCATGTTGGGCCCAGTAAAAAGCACGAAAAATATACGGGCCGGTTTTTTTGTTGGGCCTAGTCAAAAGCCCGAAACCCCTCCTGAGGCTGCCTACATCATCGGACAGACGCTCGGTCGTTGCAGTTAGGGAAATGGAAACGGTGATGAAAATGAGTATCCATTTTCAATTCTAGCTATAAAAAATTGAATTTTTTTAATTGCATTACAATTATCACTGAACAATTATACGTTGGGGTTAATTCCCGACAAAGAATCGTTTCCAGAGATGTGATCGACCATTTCCGCAGTTGCTGTGTTCGTTGCAGACATATAGAGGAGTGCTACATCTGTTCCAAAATAAGTTTATTTTCCATTCATCCCACACATAGCAATACAAATTCAAAAATATTAGAATATCCTTATTTTTTTCAAATCTGAATGTAACTATTTCTCACTTTATCTACTCCCGATACAATTATTACGTACTTTTACGTACAAACTCCTATTCAATGATTCTTAAAAATAAATTTAGTTTAGGATAAATGAGAGAAAGTAAAAAATGAACCTAATTATGTGGGACGGAGGAGTAGTCAGTGTCAGCCAAAGTATGCAAAGATTTTCAAAATCGATTAGTTTATCCCAAACTTGCACTACTACATAAAAGCATTATTCCGTGTGGTCAAAATAGATTTTCTCGTGCAGAGTTTTTTACTGTCTAGACCCAGGGGCATGGAGAAATCAATATTTTCGCGTATGGGCGTCCCAACCGCACGGGATAATCATCTTCCCGTGCGGTCGGGTTAAATGGACTGCACAAGATAATCGGTCAAATTATACCGCCCGCACGCAACTAGAAAAAAACAAAAAAAACCCTAACCTAACCCTAGAATCGGCCGCCGCCGCTGCGACTAGTTGCGGCCATCGCTCCCGGCCGCCGCAACTCTTCGTTGCCATTGTCGTGCCGCCGTGACCGTCGTCGCCGTTGTCGTTGTCGAGCCTGCCACCGTCGTCGCTGTCGAGCCCGCCGGCCTCCCATGAGCTTTCTGGCGACGGATCCGATTCCCCCGAGCTCACCGGCGACAGATCCGCCTCCCCTGAGCCCACCGACGACGGATCCGTCTCCCCGAGGCTGCCATCGTTGTCACAAGCTCACCACCATCGTGCCGTCGTCGTCGTCGAGGTCAGCCGTCGTCTTTGTCGAGGGGGCGCGGTCGCAGCTCCATCGCTCGCTGAGCCGCCTCCTGCGTTGTCGCCAAGCTGCCGCCGCGCCGCGCTTTCGCCAGCAGCCGCCGCGTCGTCTCCCGCGCCATCGGCGGCGGCGCTTGTGGCGCCCATGCGCTCAGTGAGGAGAGGAGGGGAGGAGAGGAAAGAGGCAGAGAGAGAGGAGAGGAGAGAGAGAGAGGGGAGGGGAGGAGAGGAATATAATAAAGAAAAGGAAGAGAGAGGGCGTGAAAAATTTGAAGTGGGTGAGAGGGAAAAGAGGGAGGGATATTTTATTTTCATGTGCGGTCCACTTAAAAAGCCCGCTCACGAAAATCGATCTTTCTTTATCCCGTGCGGTCGGATTAAGAGGATCACACGGGATAATCGATTATCCCGTGCGGTTCCACTCACGGCCTGCCTAGAAACAAAAGGGCCCGGCTTACAGGGGCGGATTCACAATGGGGGCGGAGGGGTCTTGAGACCCCCACTACCGCACCCGGGACAATGGAGGCCCTCCTAAACCCCCACTAATTCTTTTTTTCCATAGATCTATAGGATGTGGGGAATGGAGGTTCGATTTATACTGATGTAGTTTATTTAGCCCTCTATTGCTATTTTTTTTCTAGATCCGCCCCTGCCGGCGTACAAGAAAATCTTTTATTTAGTAGTGCTGCAGTCAAGCCTGATATTCTGGCAACCATGCAACATGCATGAGGCCGTATGTGCGTCATCATGCACTCGAGCACCGTCCCATATATGTGCACTCTGCAGCTAGAGTAATGCATGTACAGTGTACATACTCCCTCCGTTTCGAAATATTTGACACCGTTAACTTTTTAGCATATGTTTAACCGTTTGTCTTATTCAAAAACTTTTGTGAAATATATAAAATTATATGCCTACATAAAAATATATTTAATAATAAATCAAATGATAGGAAAATAATTAATAATTACTTAAATTTTTTGAATAATACGAACGGCTAAACATATTTAAAAAAGTCAACACCGTCAAACATTTTGAAAAAAAAATTTAAACATGTTTGACACCGTTGACTTTTTTAAACATGTTTGACCGTTCGTTTTATTTAAAAACTTTTATGATATGTGTAAAACTATATGTATATATAAAAGTATATTTAACAATAAATCAAATGATAGAAAAAGAATTAACAATTACTTAAATTTTTTGAATAAGAAGAACGGTCAAACACTTTTTAAAAAGTCAACGGTGTCAAATATTTTGGGATGGAGGTAGTAGCTGTGTACAGCGACGGGAGAGATCGATGGTTACGCAACATCTACGATTGCACATACCTCGTGTGGTCAGTTCAAATTGGACTGATTCAACGTGGCCCTCCGCCTTATATTGCTAGATCACCGTAGAGAACAAGGGGAGAGGGGAAGGAAGATGACTGAGACTGAGAGAAAGAAGAATACATGGGGTTGAAGCGCTTGATCTGTCCTTGGTTCGATCATCACGTCATGCTCACTCAGCTATTAGTTGGAGCATATATACATACATGCTGCTGGTTCGTTTTGTTTCAAAATATAAGAATTTGAAGCTTTAAATTTATATATCATAATGTAAGTATCTTTTTATCTAATTTTTCATCTCAACTCATCTTTTCTCAACCGAAATTTCTACTGAAACTCTCAAAATGCATATACTTGGAGGACAGTAGTACATATTATTGTGATTGATGTGTACTACGTCGACGGTTGTGTATAGTACAGTACTCCTTGTAACGATGACTATACTAGTAGCTGCATGCCACTTGTCTCTTTGGAGTTTGGAACACTACCCGTCATGATGCCTACTGCCACTTGACATGGCTCAATCAGGTTAGTTAGTTATATTCAGTTCTAGAAAAATAAAAGTTACTTATATTCCGTATCGTATTCGGAGTATGTATGGTCACTGGTCAGCATTCCAAGTCAACAGAAAAAGAGGATAAACCGCGTCGACCGAGCTAGTAGAACGGAAAAGAGCAAAGCTAGCTTAATTACGTATAGCTAATTAAGACCGGCAAGCATTATCTGATTGATTAGAATTATTAGCCCTTGACACACAGATCGATCGACCTGTACCAAACAGGCTACCAAATCAAATCACCAGATTAATCTTTTCTTTTTTTCATCAGCAACTAATTAACCTAGGTAGTACAGTAGCTAACACGCGTGTTACCCGCGTTTTAATTAGTTCACATCCTACCCTACACAAATATAGCTACCGGCCGACCAACACCAACTACAATGTGCCATATTGGCCTACATGTACTGTTTGTCTTCTTCCCAGCCGGATTTAATTAGCATGCAAGCTGCCGTATTGTAGTTTTGCATGTACTTTGCGGCGGCCGTACATGTGTTCATGGATGTACACACGCCGACCACTATTTGCTAATCCAGCACACAGTATAGTAGTAAACCTCTGGTATAATAGTTGTTGAACAAAAGTTTAACCATTCATTTTATTAAAAAATCATATATATATATATATATATATATATATATATATATATATATATATATATATATAAGTCATGCTTAATATAATTTAAACTATAAACCAAGTCACAACGATTATATACTCCCTCCGTCCCAAAATATAACAATCTAGGATCGGATGGGGCATTTTCTAGTCTGTCCAGATTCGTAGTAGTAGAAAATATCCCATCCGATCCTAGGTTCTTATATTTTGGGACGGAGGGAGTAGCTTTTAAATCATATATAAATAGTCAAATATATTTAAAAGTTAATGATGGTATCTAGTATTAAAGAATGGCTGGAATTATGGTCTGTATCCATCAGCCTAGCTTTGTTGAATAAATCCTCCATCTGTCCTATCTACATATCCTAGCTACCCTAAGCTAAGGTAACTAAGCTGACCTAGCTACCTAGCTAGTTTATCTCAATATTCATGATCCATACAAAGTCCGAAATGCAATCAGTATATCCTTCAACCTTGCCCTCCTAGATGCACGAGGGGATGTATATATATATATATATATATATATATATATATATATATATATATATATATATATAGATTGATTAATTGATGGATAGATAGATTATGTTGCAGTGCAGGGCCAAAAGTGCTCGGCCCCTCCAATTGCGAGTTCAGTGGCCGCCGCTTCCTCTCTGTTTCACACTCATATACTATCATCAGTCATCACTAATTCACTAGTAAGATTTATCGATCTGCCGGGAAAAGAAGCAACTAAAGCGTGCCCGTTTCTTCTATCGATCGCGCATGCATGCGTCTAGTGCGACAACCTGACAAACGCACTACTTATTCATCTCCGTTTCTGAATATAAGCATTTCTATAACTTATTTCGAAGAGATTAATATTATCTTTTCGACAATTTGATTGGCCAATTTTTTTAGTTATTTTGATTTTTCGTATCTCATTTGCCCAAAATGCTTGAATTTCTCGTTTTATCGTGCATTAGAATCAATGCTCCCGAAATACTTATATTGTGGACAAAATTTGAATGATAGAAACACTAGTGATGGAGGAAAGAGATCACTAGTACAGTGTACTAAAGATGGTATATACTCTATTGTCTATAGTAGAATAGCATCAGCTAGCAAACTGATGATGAAGCTAAGACTGACCTGATCATAGTACTGATCACTTAGTCTTCAGATAATGGAGTTCACACTATTGGCCACTAGATCTGCACAAACCATTGAAAAGGAGGAGATAGATCATAGAAGTGGCTGGGCACTATGCTTAATCTGTTTAGTATATGGTAAGTGGGCATGACATGCACCTCTTCTTAATTAGCTCGATCGAGTAGCTAGCTAAGGTTTACAGTAGTAATTAATTAATTAAGCTTGTAACCGAGCTTGGTGTTTAGTTTAGACAGTAGGAGTATCTATGATCAGTTTGACTACTCAAGGCTCGAGATCTTTCTCAGCTAGCTACCACCACAGATACACATACGATATGACATATCTCTGTCAGAAAATAAAAGCTTAATTACCCTAGCTAATGCATGGTTATGATTATTTTGATTTGATACTTAATTACAGTTTGCAATGGGATAGTAAGAGTACTATATACTTACTGTTGGTATGGTGTGTGAATCATTGGCAGGGCATGTGAGGGAGCATCTTTCGGTGTCTCTCTTTTCATGGTCAGGGTCAGATTTATCAAAGCCGCTGTAGCCTCTGCACGGTGTTGACTTTTTATCATCTCTATGTGGATCATCATGGTATCGAATCTTAGGGAACAGATTTGTTGCAACTTAAAAAAAAATAAAGCCCATAATCTTAGCTAGCACTGTAGACAGGGTGACAGATCGAACGCATTGGTTGTCTTGGAGAAATTTAAAGAAAAACAAATACTACAGTACTAGTAGTAGTAGCTGTTCTTCAGTGAGTGAGCTACTAGGAAGGTTGTATGGTCATGGAGTAATATAAAATTTGTTCAGAGGCAGACAAAGGTCACAGGCAGGCAGGAACACAGACATGCGGCAGAAAACAAATGCAAGTTTATATATTTATAATCCATTATACCTTCTCTTTATGAAACATGCATACTGGTAACATTTGTGCTGGTAGTAGTACCAAGCACCAGCTACCAAGGAAGATATAGGGAATATGTTCTGCTTGTTCGAACATTTCACACCATGAGAAGTCCAAGACAATTAAGCAAAAACTTACTACACCATTAGCACTGTTCATACACTCGATCGTCAGATCATAACCCACAAGTGCTCGATCTTTTCTCTGATGCTACACATACAGATGTATCAGAGATCAACAGAGAGTTCGATAACACTTTGGAGAAAGAAATACAACCATGTACATAACGGGGTTATACAGACGACAGTTTACTTGAGTACACATGCAAAATATTATCCTAGATCGACTAATACACTGATACATGCAGTTGAAAACAGGCTGCAGATAGTAGATTAATTTATGTAGGTTTACTACTGATTAATTCCTCCTTGTATCGACTTGGAGATTATGATTCAAGATTTCAAGGCCTGTTCCTCTTCTGCGTGTAGATGTAGTCGAGGTGGGCGTCGCGAAGCATCCTCCTCTCCACGCACTCCTCGTTCCCCTCCTCGCATAATCCTGCTGCTTCCTCCTCAGCTGCTCCCATCAACTGACCAAGAACAAGACAGACAAAACACACATCAAGCTTAGCAAGCTACCACTAGTTGCTTCTTCGATCAATTCTTGTATAATCAGCTACTGTGTGGTGTTCGATTAATTCTCACCTCGGAAACCTCGTCGCCATTGCCGGTGGCGCCATCCTGAAGCACTAGCTCTGCTGCTGCTGATGCTGGCAGTGGGCGAGCAGCTGAGGCGCAGTGGGAGAAGAAGAAGAGGACGAGGAGGAGAAGCAGGGCAAGAGCAGCAGCCACCGGCGGAGAAGAACGACGACCAGTCGGCCTCATATCTATCGCCAATCCTATCTCAAACTTAAACTATGCTGCAAGAGAGGAGAAGACGAAGTGGCTCGAGCTGTATTAGTGTAAGAAGCTGGAAGAAGTGAGGAGCTAGCTAGTAGCTTGGCTAAGCTTTGGGTTTTTGGGTTTGTGTGAGACTGAAGAGTGTGGTGGTGCCATGAGCTGGGTAGTATTTATAATCCGAGGTGTGGCCTTTCGTAAAGCTATAGCAACTCAGATTAACGAGACGTCGTCTGAGGTTAGTTAATTAACAGCAGAACACAGAAAGTGATTAATATTGGTAATTCGAGATGGAAGTAAGCAGGCAGGCGCACACGCATGCACTAGCTAAGGCTGCTAGTCGGCCGCGTGGTTACAAAACACGAGTAGATTTGTTGGTTCACACTTGTGTAGGTGCCAACACAGGCAAACAAACTGCCAATTTCGTCTTGGACATATGCCTTCCATTGACTAAAATTAGAAGTTTGAAGAAAAAAATTAAAAGTTTATGTGTGTAGAAAAGTTTTGATGTGATAGAAAAGTTAAAAGTTTAAAGAAAAAGTTGGGAACTAAACCAGGCCATAGTAGTAAATACAGATTAGGGTGGTAGCATACTTTTGATTTAAAAGCTTCCTTTGATCTGTGACATATAAAGCAATGCTAAATTTTAAATTTTAAATTTTGATAATTTTTTCAACATAGTTTTTTTTTCAAGCATTGTAATTAGTTTTTAAGTCACAAAGGATATAGTAAAAAAAGTTCTATAAATTATTTTTTATCGCTAATATGCCGTTATATCTTATAATCAGCCGTAGACAATGACCTTACTTCATCCAATTTTTATACTACAAGTGTTTTTTTTGTTTGTTATAAGTTATTTTTAAAAAATTGTCCCATTTCTAAAAAATCGTAACAACATCAACAATGCCATATTAGTTTAATAAAATTCGTTGTTGGATATAGTTTTATAGTATTCAAGAAAAAACTATACAAATATAACCAATGGCATATTTAGTTGAAATAATTTGATATTATATATGTTGCTATATTTTCTTAATAGATTAAATCAAGTTAAAAAGTTTGACTTAGAAAATAAAAAACATCCTATTATATCAAATTGTAGGACTATTAAACATAGTTAATTCATTGATAATTTTCTATTATGAGACTTTCCGACCCTACCAAAAACCTACTACTGTGTATCTGTGTGCAAGGAAAGAATATTCAGTGATAGAGGGATGCGTTGTCCAACGCAAGAAAAAGGAAAGATAAAACAAAGAACAGAATGGCAAACGGTACGCTTATTGTCAATCCTTACTAATCTTGGATTTGTCTGATCCCTGAAAACAGAACACTCCTCTAGTCCTCTTTCACTAGAAAGTCTAAAAACGTTTCCACAAAGAGCCGTTTCACGGATGTAACATCTGAGCTAGCTTGCTAGCCAGAGGAGGATGCGCTGGATATGGTTGGAATTTTGCAGCAACTAGCATCCTGAAATGGAGGAGAAAATAGCTTTCTTGGGCCCCCTTGTATGCTTACTCCTGGCCTATACCAAACATGATTAAAGATTTGAAGTTCATGCACTGCTTGATGCATTTCTCGACCAGTTTCCAACATTGGTCATCAGATAAAACGATCAGTATTATTCAGAAATGAGCAGAAGCAAGTTACAATTTAGCAGAGGTCCCCGTTGCGTTGAGAAACAGTGCATTGCGATCTGAATTTCACGAAGTTGGCAGCAGATTCAGATCAGAGTATTCAGAGCATGCAGGCATTGCAGCTGTGGTGCTCTGCATCCGCGGAGAGGACATCGAAGCCGAGCATACAAGCTAGTGCGAGAAGTCTCTGGGGCCCACACAGCACCACCAAGTGGGGCCCACACACCCCACATGCAAAGAACAAGCAGGTGACACGTGTATCAGAAGCTGCCAGGTCTCCTATCCTCTGCGTTACAACTGCATGCGTTAGTGGTGGTGCATTGGGAAATCTTGGCCAAGTCCACTACTACTTCATGCTTCTCTGTTGTGCACGAGAGCTTCGTCTTCTGATGCAGTGCAGTGCTGCCTGCCTGATTCCTCCACTCAAATCCCCTGCATCATTGGCGCCACTATCTCGGCTAGCTTACCTCCTTCCTCGTAGTCGTAGGGTCTGTTTGGAGAGCTTCCAAGCTTGTAGCAGCTGTAGCTTCTTCTAGAATCTTTAATTGCTATAAGCTCTCCTAAACAGTCTAGTTTTTTGTCCAGATTCTGAGAAACTATAGTTGTAGAATTTGGAAAATAAATTAGAAGCCAGAAGCAGCTTCTCTAGATTCTCACCAGCTAGCTTTTCAGCAGCTGCTTCTTAAAATTTTAAGCTCCCCTAAACAGGCTCGTAGACTCGTATGTAGTGCTGGTCTTCCTCTTTGCAAATAATTTTGCTCATATGCATGTGTAAAATAGTGTGTGTGTTTAGCTGAGACGACGAGGAGAAAAATGGGATGTACTACTAGAGAGTAGTATGTTGCGTGCATGATTGCAACGACGGACGATTGCAGCATGTGAGCTTCTTCGTTCCGCTGGGGTCATATGTGGGCGTGGTTGTCGAGCTCGGTTGTTCAGATTGTCGTCATTTCAAACCATATCGTTTTTTATAAAGGTGTTAAATATGTGTATTCTTTTAGTGTTTTACCAAACTCTAGTAAATACATAAAAAAATCGTCCCAAAACTTGATAATATTATTAAATTATCAAAATTCTGATATTGTTAAAATTTAATCAGATTTATTTTGGCGATAAACTGAACGGGCCCGTTCATCTCGATCGTGGGTGGGTACGTGATCGAATGGACTGAATTGGGTGTACGACTAGTCGATGTGCCTGTTCAACCGATCGTACCAGTCAACGGCTCCTGCAGCTAGAGCTATAGTAGCTCGATGTCCCTCTTGTTGCTGTGCGATGCTCTGTAGCTTTCAGCTTGTCACTGCTTCACTGGTGACTAGTCAGCATGCATAGCTAGTCAAACTATTCTATATTTAATTGAATTTATAGAGAAAACATAATATTTGTGATATATCAAATAAACACCATTACATACATTATCAAATATTTTTCATAGTTTACTTTTCAGATGTGGTAGACATTAATTATCTCGTTTTCTATAAATATATAGTACGTAAAACTTAGGAGATACGATGGTGTTTTACTTGCGACAAACTCAGAATCACCTAAGCCATTCACAGTGGAGTGATATGGCGTGTGGTTCTGGGTGTTCACTCAGAGATTCTCCTCCGGCCGATTGGACTACGCCCTCATGAGGACACTTGTTTCTTGGCGAGATCACTGATGTCCATCTACAAGTGAGGAAATAGCTTGCACGCATCCATGTTGGGAGGTCACGCGGCCACGTCCCTGCCTCCACTTACCCTCGCGTGTGGTCCCTCCTGGAAGAAGGTGGCACGACAGAGGAGAAAGAAGGAGAAACGATGGTGTCAATCTAAGCAATGGTGGAGGACAAAGCGGCCTACTCCGGCGAGCTCGTTGTCAGAGGGCAGCTCCGATCTATGCTGAAGGATGCCTAGAGCAACGACAACCACAATGCTCAATCTACACTACCCGCCACCTCGATCTATGCAGTTCATCGCACCATCCTCGCTACCACTAAGGTTGACACCTCACTCGCTTAGATCTCATCTCCAACTCCGAGCCCCTGACACTCCGCCTCCTTGTTGCTGGCTTGCCTAGATCCATGCCTTCGCCACCACTAGGGAAGAATGGATTTGGGAAGCTTGTTGCCGCCATCTTTGAAGAGTGGAGAGAAAGTGCTAGAGAGGGATAACTGAGCTCATTGTCGCCGCCACCGCTGAAGAGGGAAGGGGAGAGACAGCGATTGCCAAGTGGGAGAGCTAGCTGGAGACGGAGAGTGAGGGATGGCAGCGAGTGTAATTGAAGTTGGGAGGGGAGAGAGGGGGTGAGGAGGAAAAAAACATAGGTATAGTGGTTGATTGGTGAATCCCTAGGAGATCAACAGGACCGTCCATGGGCACGTGCGAGATGAGCGATAATGTTTAGGATCTTTTCAACCTATTCTTTTTCTCTTTTGGTTTCATTGAATTAGGCTAGAAGGAGATTTATTCTTCTTGGCTCTAGCAAGTGTTAGATGATAATGATAGGTACATTAAGGAACTTTACTTCATGACGATAATGTAAACATGCGTTTCAGGTAATAAGGATTTCACTTTTACACTAGTTAGAAAAACTGAATTGATGCGGCGATTCTTTTTCTACTTAACTAGCCAGCTTGCCACTACTTAATTAGGTGGTAATCTTATTTGGCATAGCTCTACACATATAAGATCACCATTACTAAGTTGGCGGATCCAAAAAAATTGATGCGTTAGTGTTATAACGTGTCTATTAGTGTCATAGTGTGCTAATTATACTTAGATCATGGTGTTATAGTATATGGACAAACAATTTCGCTATAAGTTTTATCGAAAGTCATCGGTGTTGTCTGACACTCTGGCCTTTATACTATAGATTTGTCCCAGTAAACAGTACTTATCAACACTACGTATGAGGTCTTATTTAATTTATATTTAGCACAGGGTCCCAGATCTTAGCTTGGGACAGCCCTGGAGATCAAGGGCAGTAGTACGCGCAGGGAGCTGAGCCGCCGGCGGTGAGGGCCCCGGCCGGCCAGGACAGTGACACGGCGGAAATATGCATGATATATGTTGAGCTGGAGAGAGAGAGGGGGAGGAAGAGAGAGAGTAGCACAGTGCTAACTACTACTCTGCTATGGAAAAAGATAAATTCTAACTACTTACTATGAATATGACACGTGTGTATGTAGATTTATGGATATGATTATTTTTTTTTTTTGACGGAGGAGTAGGTCGCATGCATGCGACGCGGAATGGAAACGAGCGGCGGCCACCATGCACGTACGCACGCCGACGACGGCACGATGGATCGACGCGCATGCCTGCATGGATGGCGAATCTTGACCAACTCCCCGGCCCAATCCCGATCGATCCATCAAGTCACAGCTAGCTAGCACACGTACGTGATGACGTACGTGATCGTGCGCGTGTATTTAATTTTTTGCGAACAAAAGACACTACATTAATTCGTGGTAGTTTGATCTTCGATCATCGTACTGTATACTGTTGCCCATGGATTAGTGAAAGAGAAATTAATCCA